CTTCAAGATCAATTTCTCGAGCTACCATGCTCCCCCTCATCAATTTGTCCTCTAGGAAGACAACGTGTCTCATTTTCCACAAACTTTATATGTCTCTCTGGACAGTAGAAAATGAAAACTTTTTGACTTTTCTGTGTAGCCAATAAAATGGCAACTTACTGTTTTGGGATATAACTTCCCAATGTTTGGGTTAAATACTTTAGCCTCAGCAGGGCTCCCCACACACACGTAAGTGGTTTAGTGAGGGTACTATTTCTGTCCACAACTCATACGGTGTTTTGGGCACCGACTTTCTTGATACTCTATTGAGAATATAAATGGCGGTTTTAACGCCTTCATTCACAGGTTCAACTGTAAGGTGGAGTAACTTATCATACTGCCCACCATATCCATCAGGGTACGATTGATTCTTTTAGATACTCTATTCTGCTGATGTTCGCTCGGTGTAGAATACTGAGCTACTATGCCATTCTTTTAGGGTATGCCGACCGTAGTACTCTCCCACGATCAGACCTGACTATCTTAATCTTTAATATCTTAAATTTATCCAATACATCTTTTCTTTCTTTGATTGGATAAATATAGTCATAATGGGAGTAATCATCTGTGAATGCATCATAACCATTCACACTCTTTACAGGAAAGCTGACCACAGATGTCAGTGTGAATAATCTGTAAAATTCCTGTGCTTCGTTTGTCATCTTTCTTTACATACTTTCTTTTTATGCATTCTCTGCATTGAACTTAATCTGAGAGCTCTAATGGAGGAAGAATGTCATTCTTAACTTGTCTTTCTATTCTCCCCCTCGAAATATGGCCTAAACGACAGTGCCATAATTTCGACAACGCATCGTGAGCTCTCTTATGCCACCATTTCCAGAGTAACACTCTGTGACCAGCTTTATCAGCTAAGTGGCATGTCTTTGAAAAGCCAGTGAACTGCTCTTTATTCTATCGAGGTACTTGGTGACCGTGTCATATTCTGGGATTGAGCCCACAATTGTAGGTTCAATCATGTTCTTTATCACAACAAAACATTTCTTGTTTGCAGTGACCTACTTCCTATGCTCAAAAGCCATAGGATATCTTTTGGGATTCAAAATCCCTTTCTTTAGTTGCCCAAGTGGCATCATTCTCTTTTGTCTCCCTCACCGGTGCCACAAACTCAGTGGAACATGGTGAGGTGACTACCCAGTCCACCTTAAACAAGATGAAAACCAGGTCAAATCTTTTCTTAACATAAAATTAACACCATTTGCATGCCTTGATTCCAACGTTGGTCAAAATCAAAACATATAACTATTCTTATACACTAATTCTACATCACCGTTGGGCAGAAATAGAATTAATGCATAAATCTCTAACTTTCATAACTGTTCTTACACACTAATTCTACATCACCGTTGGGTAAGAAATAGAATTAATACATAAATCATTAAAATTAACATATGTTCTTATACACTAATTCTACATCACCGTTGGGCAGAAGTAGAATTAATGCATAAATCATTAAAATTATCAACTTTTCTTATACACTAATTCTACATCACCGTTGGGCAGAAGTAGAATTAATGCATAAATCATTAGCATTACGATATTGTTATTAACAACGTTGGTCAGAAAATAACAACATCATAATCATGTCAAAATTCTTTTTCTCTAATTAAATACCACATTGGTTCAAAATAATTGGAGAATCAACATTTTCTTTAGCAGCGGAAAAACTTTCCTTTTCTCCAATTAAATACCACATTGGTACAAATTAACTGGAGAATAAATCATTTCTCTAGCTGTGGAAAAACTTCTCCTTTTCTTGAACTTTACTCACAGGGACAATTGTATTTTCTATTTCCTTTAATCCATTAATCAATTTCCAGAAAATAAAACATTTACTGAAAAAACTTTGAGAATATACTTTTTCTTTAGCAGCGGAAAAACTCTTACTCAATTTCTTGAATTTTACCCACAGGATAAAACTACTTTTTCTATTTTTCTTTTTGAGCCAATTTACATTTTCAATTTTCCAGAAAAAAGAAAAAAGAAAAAACTCGGCTCTTGCTCTTTCATTGTTTTACCGAAACGGCCCACGACCCCTGACCCCACGCGCCTTCCTTGGCTCCTCCGCGCCCAAAGCCATAACTGGGCTGGGTAGGAATTCGCTTTGGCAGCTACTTCACCTTTGGTGAAAAGCCGGCCCGGTGAATCTGGCCGTCCGATGGAGATCGGCAATTTGCAGCGTCGATTCAGCGCCAACAAAACCCTTGCCATGACACAAGATGCAAGAAACCCTAGAATCATTTCCATTCGGTCTCTCTCTCTCTCTTCGCTCGCCGCTCTCTCCTCTCTCTCTTCTTCGCTCTCCAGAAGTAAGAAATGATCGAGAGGACACCGAAGCGAAGCGAGCCATGGTGGAGCGACCATGGCGCCGTCGTTGGCCCGGCCGCCCGACGCTGCAGCGTGCTCCCCAATGGGTGAGCACGCCACCGTCAGCGACACAGGCTCATGACCTTTTCTTCTTTGGCCGAGCCCGGCGAAAAATCTTCCCGGCTCGGTCTTCTTCTCCCTCGCCGGCGAAAGGCCGGTTCGGCTCCCTTTTCCCTTCTTCCCCGTCCCCTTCTCACCTCTGGGATTAACCCGTGGTGGGGTTGGGGTCAAGATCTAGGGTTAGGGTTGCGCTTTTCGATTCGATTCGATTCTGCCGATTCGTTTTTTTCTGTTCTTTTGATTTCTTTCTTTCGTTTGTTCACCCGAAAAGGTTATCCTAGTTCTAGGGTTAGGGTTTTGGCTCTGTGAGCCTAGGGCCCTATTTCTTCTCTGATTCGAATGGATCTGATCTTTTCTTTACTTTTGCCGTGCGCCGTCGAATGGTGCGGCTCCTTTCCCCTTCTTTATTCGAGTTAGGGTTAGGGCTTAGGGTTCGGTCAAATCCGAACCCACTCTTCTTCTGTTCAGATCCGAAAAGAAGTGTTCGGTTCTCTTCTCTTCTTCTTCCTCGAGCTTTCTGCGCGGGTTAGGGTTAGGGTTCTTGAGATCCTTTTCCCCTTTCTCTTTTCTGATCCGAACACGGATCTTTTACATTCTTGCTTACATTCGCATTGCACGCCGAATCGAGCAGTGCGGCTTCTTTCCCCCAATCGGTGGTGGTGGTTGACCGAGGTTCCAGTGACGTCCGCCACCCCCGGTCCCTTTCTCTTTTCTTTTACCCGGTTAGGGTTAGGGTTACACACTTGTAACCTAGCTCTGATACCATTGTTAGGATCGATGTTTACCTTTGTGTGTGTGTGTAAGTCAGAGATCGGGTAACATTCCATTCGCGCCAGGCGCTTGTTATTGCTGTGACCTCTCGGGGACGGTGGTGTCGAGGGCCCGGCTCGGTGGCGAGGTCGATGGCCCGGGTGGTGACTGCACAGGGAGGCGGCGGAGTCGGTGGGCCATCCGTCGCCGGCAAAGGCGACCACGGCTTTAGGATTGGATTAGGGTTTTCTATAGGTGGGATTGCGGCTCCAGTGAACCTCGTCATCCGAGCCCTCATCCCCACCTTCCTTTTATGTGTGCTGTGCGACAGGGGCCCACCAACCGGATTAGGGTTGGGCTCCCCCGATCAGGGAGTCGAGATAAGGGCGTTGGGCCTATTGATGGAGATCAACTAACATTACCGTCATTTCCGATGACAAAGCAAACCTAAATAATTATGCTATATATGGCTCTTCATAATTTTATTCGTGAAAGCGCAATAGCGGATGAGGAGTTCGATAGATGTGACCACGATGAAAACTATATGCCAATGCCGAATGAATCTTCTTCAGAGCCAAGGGGTGGCAATCGACATGGAGGCGGTGAGGATCATAACATGAACACCTTCCGTGATAGCATCGCTAACACTTTCAGCCTATTCGTTTCGGTTTATTCGCTCGTAGTGTTTTTCTCTCACACCAAAACAGTCAACAGTACTTTCAGCCATAGATTATAAGCCAATTCAGCCTAGGCGAGATTGATGGGAATCAAAGGCTTGTACACGATCATCAGCCTGTTCGCTTGCTCGTAAACGATCGTAAATTTCCAGCCGGAAACAGCGTTTTTCTCTCACACCAAACCAGCCAGCAGTAAATAATCCACGATACGATACGGCCTCCCGAACAGGCTGCATGTCTCCAAACTATTAAATTATACTCTGTCAAATATATTATCCTTGTAAATTTTTTAAGCCTGCATGTGGACGAACATGTACCGTACTACCAAGTATTTAATTCATGTTGTTTGAACGCTTCTTCGATGAACATGCATCATCGGAACATATTCCATGCAAAGCAAACGGTACAGCCAGCTCACGTCTGTACGGTGCCAGGCTAACGGCTATGCTGGGGCAGACACGTCTTTCAGTTGAATTAGCTCTAAAGTTTAGCTCTAAATCCAAACAGCTCTATTGTCTAAAGTTTATTAGCTAAAATTAAACTTTAAAGTTGAGAATCCAAACAGGTCATAATTAAACATTTGTCTAAAAAAATTGGCTCACCTATTAGCACCCCTGTCTAGATGCACGGAAGCTAATTTGGCTAATTTTTAGCTAACTGGTAATTAGCTCTTAATCAAACGGGTCCTTAAAACGGTATTCAATGGCCTAACTCTGCCATCTACTGCCACTCAGATTAATCGAGTAACCGTGCAAATTGCAATTGCAATCGGTGCAGCTACATCCAAAATTATTTTTGCGCCAGTGGCTCCGCCGTCTTCCCTGTGACCCGGTCTCCTTGTCCGTCCCCAAATCTTCTTCAGCAAAAAACGGAGCAACCGAGGAGACTAACAAGAGCAGTGGGCCATTGAAAGAACTACCACAAGAAACAAGTTGGAAAGGTGCGCGAGTGGCCGCGAGATGCAGATCTATAGCTTTCCCCTCGGTTCTTTCTCTCGATCTCTTCCCCTGTGACTATGAGTCATGGCATCTAGGCCTAGGCAGATGACGGGCCTTCTCTGGTGACGTAGACGTGGAAAGATACGACGCCATGGTTGCCATTGAGACTCTTGTGGCTATCGCTGTGGCGAAGATGGTAGCTCAAAAGATCGCCAGCTGCAGCTTTGCTACCTTGAAGCCATATTGTTGTAGCTTGTTTTGCGCCTTCAGAGATGATCTGGAAGATTTGGAGAAGGAACTTCTCTGCCTTGAAGCCCAGCTCAAGGAAAAAGACAAGTGGTTATTTGGCATCGAGGTTGCTGACGACGGCCAAGCCGTGCTGGCGCAAAGTTGGCATCGAGATGCAAAGCAGCTGGCTTTTGAGATCGAAGACACCATTGATGAGTTTGTCTGCTCCGAAGAGCTCTACCATGAGAGCACCTGTGCCCACAAGGTAAGAGCAACTTCTCTCTTATATTTCATCTCAAGTTGTAGTAGATAATCTCAAAATCATTTCATCATATAGGAGAGCACTGCTGCTGCAGTAGATTATCTAAACTTGTCTTCTATTCTTTAGGCATAGAAGAGAGGGGTTCTCTCTCCTTTATTTAGGGAAAGAAGGCTATTTAGGGAGGGAAAAGGCTGTTTTTAGGGGATTTTTCTTCTGAGGAATAAGTTATTAATTAACTTGCAGCTAGACCTCCAAAATAATCTTATTTAACAAGTTTGTTGATGGTCTAAGAACATATAATCCTTTTCGTGTTCTCCTCATTAGGACATTGGAATGGCTAGGTTGCAGGCACTACTCTGATGCCATTTGTTTCATGTTCTTTTCATTTCTCTGAATGGGAATAATGTTCCCTAGCTGTCTACTCGCAGAAAGAAATATACCGCGAGTTTGTTTTAGCTTTGTCCATATTTGCTGTTTTTTCATTGTAATAATTCTTATCACAAACCCCACTGAATCACTTAGTTTAACAAATCAATACCCAACGTACTAAACCTAAAAATAACAGTAAATAGTGGAGAAACTGCTAATTGGCTCTTGATTTCTCAATAAATCAAGTGAATTTCAAATAACTACAACTATTTGACATGTCTAGCTGCCATTTTTTTCTATAAAAACTACAGGCATCATTGCTCTGTTCGTATTCAAATCCAATTGCAGCTAGAGCCTGGACAGTTAAAAGGATGATATCGGAGACAAAGAAGCTGAATTCAGCCATCAAGTTAAATGGGCGATATGGTACTGGACGTACTGGTATTGATTTAGAGTCAAGGTTTTCTGCTGAAAAAGAGACAACATCATATGATGGCCCTGATCCAGTCATTGGTAGGGTGAACGATCTGGAGGCTATTGTGGATACTATAAAGGAACATGCAAAACGACTATGTATTATCGCCATAGTTGGGCCTGTAGGTGTTGGGAAGACATGTCTTGCGCGCCTAGTATTCAATCACTTGGATAGTGGGAGCAGATTCACTCGTAGAATTTGGGTTTATGTACACAAGTCTTGTTCCAGAGTTGATATCAAAAGAATTGCGAGACAAGTAATTTCACAGGGTCTTTTGGCGGGCCAGGAACGACCAAATGCTGATTACACAATGCAGGAAATTACAACTAAGGTTCATGAGATACTTAAAAGAGAAAGATGCCTCATCATACTAGATGGCTTGTGGGGCTCAGATGATGACGTGTGTTCTCTGAAACAGATGTTCACAAGTTGTACTGAGGAGACAGAAAGTGTAATCATTGTGACCACCCACAATGAACAAATTGCTCAACACATGTCAACTGTTCCATTGTACAGATTGGCTCCTATGCTTGAAGGTGATTATTGCTCGGATATCTTTGTGAGCGCATTGCGTGGTCATAATTCACTCTTCCCTAGATACAGAAAGGAAATTATTTCAAGGTGTGAAGGCATACCTCTTGTTGCTGATTTCCTGGGTTCTATTGTACGTAATGGTGGATGGGATCAGCGTGCCGTTTGGGAAAATGCTAGGGGCAAAGATTTGTGGAAATTAGAGGAGGATTATGCAACTACTCTAAGCAAGGAGTTGACTTTGTTTGCTCCCTTCAGGCTAATGTTCTATAATATACCTCATGGTCTGAGATTGTGTTTTGCATATTGCTCAGTCTTCCCTAAAGGATCTAGTATACATAAGAGAAAACTTATTCAGCAGTGGATTTCACTTCACATGGTTGAGTCTGCAACACATGGGTCTGTTTCGGCAGAAATGAATGCCGAGAACATCATAAAGCAACTAAAGTCTATTCATCTCCTTCAGGTATGATCAGAGGCTTTTGTTACATGTTAATTAAACCCTTCCGTGTGTATTGATTGAGTACAACTGCTCTTTGGATTTATCATATCACATTTGCATCTTTGCAGCTCATGTGCATGAAAATTCTTACTTTCCCTTTTAGAAATTGAAGGGAGTAATTTGTTAATGTTATCCTATTAGGTTTTCTGTGCATTATGAGATAAGAAGGCTCACCGAAATAGGTGTGTTTTTGACGGAGCTACTCCCAGCTTGGGTGGTGTTTTGGGTTTTGCTCTAGAAGAGAGTCGGCTTTGGGCTGTGGCGGGGGCTCAGGGGCTATCTTTCTTGGCTTCCCAGCCTCCCCCTCCCCCTGTAGCCCTGTAGTCTGGAGGACATCTAGTCTTGGTCGCCTCTTTGTTTCCATAGGTGCTTTTGTACTTTTATTTTGGAGTGGTGTGGTGTGTGTTGTAACTGGGGTCTCTCCCCCTTTTTTTCTTCTTAATATAATGAAGCGCAGTTCTCCTGTGTTTTCGAGAAAAAAAAAGAAGGCTCAACACTTTGTTGCAACTGTTCTTTCTGGATAATTTGTTTTCTTTCCTGAGACCTGGGTTGCTGGGTTCAGTTGTTTTCCTGATCTCTTGACTCGTTTTGATGGGTTCTTACAGTTCAGTTATTTTCCTGAACAAAAAAACAAGTCATCCATCTTCAATGCCCAATGCAAGACATGGACACAATTTGATCCTGTCCAACTGTTTGTGCTCAAGAAAAGAAAACAAAGATATACAAGAATTGAATTAATCTATCTTTCATGTGATGTATGCTTAATCTGACTTGCTTTTTCAGGTTGAGGACGATGCTGAAGGAAACTCTGGCGCAACAGGTGAGGTGCTACGCATGCATTACATGGCATATGAACTGGCCCGTTTCATCTCGCACAAAGATATCCTTGTGGTTTTAGAAGGTGAAGAGGCAGTCAGTTCTTTTCCTGAAGAAAAAGAAGAGGCTGGTCGGACATGTTGTTTTTCTCAAGAAAAGGAACAGGGCATTTTGACTTATTGTGACCATCGCTATGCACAGCTCCCAGTTTTTACCAAGTACCGTCCACAAAAGGTCAGGTCACTAATTCTGAGACCCACAGCCGATCTGCAGGAACTCAAACCTGGGATTCTTATCGCTGTCAGTGAAGTGATCTCAGGAAATAAGTACTTGCGTGTCTTGGATCTTAGTGGATGTGGTATCACGGAACTGCCAGCTTGTGTTTGTCAGCTGAAGCAATTAAGGTACCTTGACGCCTCAAGGTTGGACATGAAAGAACTGCCTTGTGTGGAGAACAGTTTGAGAAAGCTTGTTTACCTGAACCTACAAGACTGCCGCAGTCTTGGAAGTGTGCATGTGTCCTTTGGCATGCTTCCTAGTCTAAAATATCTTAATTTATCATTGTGTGTTAGTCTCACAAAATTGCCTGCATCATTCAGGAGACTAAGAACACCCCGGCGTCATTGCACAATTGACTTGTCTGGTTGCCAGGAGAGTGTAATGGTACAATTTAATTCTGAACTGCAAGGTGAGCAAACTCAGACAGAGAAGATTCCTGACCCTCAACCTGATCAGCGTCCTCAGCCAGACAAGGATCCAAATACCGAACATGATCGACACTCTCAACCAGGCAGGGTACCTTATTCTCAGCCTGATAAGGTTCCAGTTCCTCAACCCAGCCAGACAGAAATATCTTCCATGGAAGACAAAATTATGGGAAGCCATCCAGAGTTTGCATTGGAATCAACTTCACCGTTAGATGTAGCCAATGAACCAGAGGAATCTCAGGTACTTTACCATATTCAAACACAATGCTTGCTATGAAACTGTGGTATGCCCAAATTAGCTGTAGCTGATTTAATTCAAAGGAATTTTTTAACCTGACGATGTCCTTTCACCAATGCCATTTTGCAAAAATTGAACTTCAAGTTGAAAAGTTTGGTTTACAAAATATAAGACCGAAAGGTGGGGACAGAAATACTCAAGTTACTTTCTATATACATATTCTATGTAAATTTGCTGTGTGTTAAGAAAGATTTGCTATGAAAAGCACAATTGGTGTGGTGATGGAGTCACTGGTGCACGATTCCACCTAGAGTTCAAGGCCTAGGGTCCATGTATTTAGATGTTTGTGAGATTAATGGCTTTGGGCATCCCTAGTTGGTTCAGAAGTCACAAGTTCTCTAAAAAATAAATCGCTGCACTTACGTGATGTACTGATCGACATCTTGATGCTCCTCTCTCTGTAGTCCTCGCTGGAAACTAATGGAGGACATTATGCCTCACTATCATCAAGCAACTCAACAAATGGGGCTCTATATGATGGCAAAACAGCAGGTACATTATTCCAACTACATTCTAAATTTCCATCTATCAAAAGAAAAAAAGCTTCACAGACTATTGTTCTAGTTCTTTGTATTATATGCTGTTTTAGAATGGGACAGATTTCCTCATGCAGTTATCAAGATGCCAAGGAATTTCCAAAAGTAATTTTCCTATTACTACTACTGTGGTATCAATGGTTTGGGCTAGATGAAATCAGAACTTTCAAACTTGGGCTACCATGCTGAGCAAATATAACAAGATCTAACCAAATGTACTCATAATATGTTCTGTGAGATTTTAGGATAGACATCTTCCAGAGTTCAGTTACAGAACCTTGATATAATTTTGCTTGTTTCAGATGAATAAATTGGTAACAGCACCACTTAAAATTATAAAATAAGGAGCAGTTAATTTAGTGACAATTGGCCTAGTACTCTTTCTTATCTCAAATTTATACAAACTGCACTTCAGAAGTTCTGAAATGAAAATCATTTACATAGATTATTGCCTCAGAGTACATTAGATAAACATGTGCAACAAATAGCTGAAATGAGAGATTTGTATTTGAACTAGTTAAGGTTGGTCAGACTTGTTAGAATATATGAACGTCCAGAGTGTCATCAACATATTTTCACATCAAGATTCATCAACTCATTGCCAATTACACCTTAGTTCTAGTTTTGCCCTTCAAGTGTAATGCATCAGAAGTCAATCCTTGCATCGAAATCACAGTTGCATCCTAATAGCAAACCAATAGAAATTACTAAGACACCATCTTCATCAACTATTAAATCATAATATTTTACAAAATAACAACTTAAGAACTACTCCTGAAGTAATCCAGAATCTGCTGGGTTTATTTGGTATATGTTTTCTCTAGTTTTCTTGTATAATTTTCTTGTTTTTTGTGTACTGTAGTCCAATGTTTCATGGGGTTTAATACTGTTACTTAAAAAAAAAACAATTGTGTAATACTGCTCTGTTGTAATATTGTATGCCTGCACCATGAATCCTAGTCAATAGTCAACACAAAGCTAAGAGTTGAATGCATGTGAATTATCATTACTCTTGTCAATTCCTTCAGTCAAATGTCAATCTTTATTCAGTTCTAATAAGAAATGAAAAATGGGAAATCGTAGCCTTCATGTCTATCTCATGAGAAACTTGTGGTGTTTCCAGCCTGTAGACAGAAGACTTCGCGAAACAAGGTGAAGGGGATCCTGCTGGACATTCGGAATTCTAGTTTGAGAAGTAATGTGAAAAAAAGTACTGATAGATAGCCCCACATGTAAGGGGATTATTGGGATTAAATTTCTCGTTCTGTTATAGCAGTGCTCCCTCTGGATTCAAATATTTATTTTAGGACTCCCCCAATAACTTATTTTTGAGGCTGAGTAGTCTCTTTCTGCTCGAAACTCCATGTACTTGAAAGACACCACATGTTCTCAACACTGTTCTTGGATGGATGTGCTTCCGCTACCATTGTTTGTGGAGCATCCATACCCCCTTGACCTTGATGTGCACCTGTCGCACAAAATCTTCATCTAGTTAGAAGTTAAATGCTGTATCAATGAAAGGTTAATAGTTACATGCATGTGAAATCATCATTAGTCTTGTCAATTCCTTGATTTCAGCGTTAATGTTTATTCCGTTCTAAAGAAAGTTCAAAATGGGCAAATTACAGTCACTACTGCTACGGAAGTCTTCATGTATATATCGTGAGGAATACATGATGTTCCCACCTTGTAGACGGAAGTTCCTAACGAAAAGGGGATTCTGTTGAATAAATATTCAGAATTCTATCATAGTTTCGTGACTAGCAAATGCAAGACATCAAAAATATTACAGAGTCACCACTGAAATGAATTTTTCTATGGATGATGTGAATTTCGGTCATGAAATCCTTCATATAATTCAGTTCAAGTGAGCTCTAAAACAAGAACTGACAGTGACCAATGGTAGAAAAAAAAACGAAAATATTAACTTCATGTTCAAGTCAATTGCATCATGAATATGATGTTAACGCCGCTCTTATGAACGAAAGGATGGCAAGAATCGAGGATTGTGGTGTTTCAGAACTATTTCAGGACAAACAATTTATATAGTAAAGTACAGTTGGACCTGTAGGGATAAGCAGTACTGACTGAACCACATGATATCAATATTGAGTGAGGCCATATGTGAACAATTGACAGAGAGAGGTCAATGTTTGATCTTTGAAAATAGTATGGCATGATTGATTGACCATTGATAGGGACCGAGCAACTCTGGCTGAAATGGGTATTGGGTATGGGCTCTCACGCCAGTCAGACAGAGATACCCCAGTTTAAAGGACACTGTACATTGTAGAGAGAAAAAAGGTAGACATAAATCATGCAAACAGTTCGTTAAAAAAGATGCAACTTCTCATTTTCAGACGAATAAATTGGTGACAAGAACAAAGCCCAGTTAAAAGGACCATATGTTGGACCATGTGAACATTCAGAAAAACCATCAACATGTTTGTCAGGCTGATATCGACTATTAACAATGACAGAAACTGCAACTCACACTAATGGAGCGTTTGGTTTGGAGAATCAATAAGAAGTGATGCATCGTAAGTTCATCCCTTAATAAGTAATGAAAAGTTAATAGTTACATGCATGTGAGGTCGTCTTGTCTTGTCAATCCCTTGATTTCAGCGTTAATATTTATTCCGTTCTAAGAAAAATCGAAATGGGTAAATCACAGGCACTACTGATACGGAAGTCTTCATGCATATCGTGAGGAATACATCGCGTTCCCAACTTATAGACGGAGGACTTCCTAAAGAAAATGGGATTCTGTTGACTATTCAGAATTGTAGTCTGAGAAGTAATGGCAAGACCTGCGTCTGCGTATAGAAAATTAGCATCGAGAAAACTAAGTGATGTGGACTCTTTGGGTTTATCGACAAACGCGAGATCTGACTCTGAAAGGTCTCGACTCCTTCCCTCCTTCTTGTTAACAGAAAGAACAGCGTGAATTAGGGGTGACATTTTTCTGTATTCTGTCACCACAAGAAATGAATTGTCGAAAACGGCTGGATGCAGAGATAAGCAGGACTGACTGAAGCACGTGCTGACTGACTGTTGAGTGAGACATCCATGTGAGCATTTGACTTAAAATGGTCCAAGTATGATATTTGGAATACGGTTACGTTTGACCAATGAAAGGGACTGTAAATTCATTACGATGGTGTTCTGGCCCCGTTCGGCTTACCCCATATTCAGCTTATTCGGCTTCTTTTTTCGGCCGGAACAGTGTTTTTCTCTCACAACAATTCAGCCAGAACAGTGTTTTTCAGCCAGTTTCAGCCAAAATTCTGCCAGCCGAACGGGGTTGTAGAGCACTAGTAACTTGACATCTGGCGAAACTGAGCACTTGCTTTCAATATACGAGTAGTATTTATATAACTAGTAGGAGACACCCCTCCTGTTTGATAAAAAAAAATAAAGAATCTGTTTTGCAAAAACAAAACTGGTTCGTGAACAAATTATGGGAGTTCGCGAGTTCCTGAATATTAGTTAAGAATTTCAGTCAAATTGTTTGAACAGATTTGGGTGACCATAAAACAGGAGCAGAAATAACCTTTGACAGTTAAAGTGACCAAGAGTTGGAGCCTTGGAGGATGTCAACATTCAGAATGCCAATTGAGCTAACATCGTGCTTCGCCAGCCTAACACATTTCGCCATTTCGGCATCAAACTTCCTCAACCCGCCACCGATTACACAATAGACTGGGACAAAGCTTTTTGCCCCACACAAGTCTGAACTTACAATAACACGAAAGCACAGCATGGAAACCATGGACAAATTAAGGCACAATGCAATGCAGCAACACCAATCCTAACTCATCCTCTTTGGGTTGCATCAAGAATCACACCACATTCATCTAGTAGTAATCATCCCATATAGATTTGGAGTAGAAAACTTATTAAACCACATTGGTTGTCATGATCATGCTCTGGACATCTCCTGCTGCTGGTGGTGGAGGTTGCCCTGGTACTTTGGGTCCCTTCGGACGATGCGCTTCCAGTACCAGTGCTTGTCGAAGAGCATCCAGATCTCCTCGATGGGCACCTGCTTGGTCTCCGGCAGCAGGAGGATGACGAAGATGGACATGACGACGATGAGCGAGGCGAAGAGCACGAAGACGCCCCAGCGGAGGTGGCACAGCGCGGCGAGGAAGCACTGCGCCACGGCGGCCGTCCAGAAGAGGTTGACACACACCACCACGCTCTGCCCCGCCGACCGCATCTCCAGCGGGAACAGCTCGCTGGGCACCAGCCATCCCAGGGGGCCCCAGGACCAGCCGTAGGCCACCACGAAGAGGCAGATGGCCACCACCAGCACCGTGCTCACGCCCTTGCTCAGCTCCTCGCCTTTCCCGAACTTGAGGGCAAGGATCACAGCAACGACGACCATGGAGGAGATCATCTGGATGCCCGCCTCGATGAAGAGGAAGCGGCGGCCGAGACGGTCGACGGTGACCATGGAGATGAGCGCGCCAACGACGAGCATGGAGCCGGTGATGATGGATGAGTACAGCGCCGCGGAGGATCCAAAGCCAAGGCTCTGGAAGATGACGGGCGAGTAGAAGAGGATGGAGTTCATCCCCGACAGCTGCTGGAACGCCGGGATGCCGAGCGCGCCGATGATGAGCTGCGGCCGGTTGCGCACGGCGAGCAGGTTCCGGAACGTGCCCGTGACGGCGCGCGCGGCGTCGCTGGCCTCCTTGAGGTCCTCGAACTCGGCGTCCACCTTGTGCGTGCCGCGCACCTTCTCCAGCACGCGGCGCGCCTCCTCCAGGTGGCCGCGCTCCACGAGGCTGTTGGGCGTCTCCGGCAGGAAGAGCGCGCCGACGAAGATGGCGGTGGCGGGGCCCATGGCAAGCCCCAGCGAGAGGCGCCAACCCCACGGGTGCAACCGGTCCGTGAAGTAGTTGATGATGTCGGCGACGAGGATGCCCAGGCAGGTGGTGAGCTGGAACAGCTGGTTGACGGCGCCCCGGATGCGGTAGGGGGCGATCTCCGAGAGGTAGAGCGGCACGGCCTGGTTGCCGAAGCCGATGCCGACGCCCAGGAGCACGCGCCCGACGATGAGCATGGCGATGTTCATGGCGGCCGCGTTGATGGCGCCGCCCAGGAAGAAGCTGGTGGCGCCCACCATGATGCTGGCGCGCCGGCCGCGGCGCTTGGTCACGTAGGAGGCGCCGAAGGTGGAGACGAGGCCCGCGAAGTAGAGCGAGGAGGTGAAGAGCGTCAGCAGCTGGTTGTCGTACTTGCAGTAGTCCGTCTCGTGCAGGTGCGCCTGCTTCCGATGGTACACGTCCGGGAAGAACTTCTTCAGGAAGTCGTCCATGGAAGTCACGCCGCCTGCAGCCATGGATTTCGCGTCAGGAACACCAGGAGCAAGCGGCATCTTTCAAAAAAGATTCTTTTTTCTAGTGCTTTCTGCTTTGAAATGTATTTCGCGTAATCAGACATGTTTTCGGTATTGTTTCATTTCATCATGGTTAAAAATAAAATGCTTCATTTCACAATGGTTATAAAAATAATAAAAGCTAATTTTTAGTGATGTCACTTGCAGAAGTGCGGTTGAGATGATCTGTGCTCCACGAAACAAAGTCTATCGGCCTGTTCGCTGGTTGGTTTCTGGATAAGTCCGGCTGATGCTGATTTGTTGTGAGAGAAAAACACTGGCAGATTGGCTGATAAGCCCTGTCTATAACCATTGAGCGAACAGAGAGTACAGGGATGAGACGAAACAGATTTGGTAATGGTTGTCAACAAACATCAACCATTTTGACATATATAGGAGGGTTGAGTTGTAAAGCGGTTTTCCTCCTGTGATTCTCTGGTCTAACCCAATGGATTCATTTTCAGTGCAAAGCATTCAACCATGATGGAGACCATCCATGAAATTCGGATCACAATATATTCGCCACCAGCTTTTCTAAATATCTATTCTATTTCGAAAGCTTGTACAATAAATCGTTGGGTGGGTTCAGGAGCAATCATTTGTCGCACCTTTCACAAACCCGAGAAAGAAGTAGAGAATCCATCATCAGAGGAAAAAAATTATGAGGAGAGCAGAGAGTCATCAAACGCGGACAAGAATTACATTTCTATTTCTACATAAGACGGCCGGATCATTTTCAGCAAACAATTTTTTTAGAAAAATTTCAGCAAACAAAAATTACATTCAACAAAACGAACTACGGAAAGGAAGAACAGGGTACGTATGAAAAATCGCAAGAAGAAAGAGCAGTGGGTGGGGAGGAATGAGGAAGGGATACTGACTAGAGACTCCGAGGTCATAGCCGAAGAGGGATCCGCCGAAGGATCCGACGATGCAGGCGAGGATGAAGTAGCCGGTGATCTTGCCCTCGTAGAACTCGGCCCTCCCGACGGCCGCCCCGCCGCCACCGAACCCGCCGGCCATCCCGCTGTCGTCCCTTCTCCTCTCCTCTCCTCCTGACCGGTTTCAGAGAAGCAGGAAGGCCCTCGCTCTCACTTCTCTTCAGACGACGCGCTGCACCTTACGTACTCAAGACTCTCTTCCCTGAAAGGCTGAAACAAAGAAAGAAAGAAATAGGCAAGGGGGGTGGAAGGAGATGAAACGGACGACGACGACGGAGAAGGAGAGGGAGAAGGCAAACCAAATCAGTGAGGAGAGCGCACACAAGTCAACAGCGGCGAGTCAAGAAACTGACAAAGGAGGCAGCAGAGGAGAGCCAAGACAAATCGATATCTCTATCGCTGAACACAAGATACTCTGGAGTACCTCCTCTGTTTCCTGGACCAGCTCAGGAATGCGTGCTGTGCCTAGTACAATGTTCAACGCCAGGCCAGATAACTGAAGATTTGGTAGTAGTAAATAAATAAACAAAGATCGACCGGCGGATTGGTTCCGCTGCTCCGGACCAAGAAGCCAGCCAGCGGCCCAGCGCCGATCCAATCTGCCCGTGCTGATCTGGTTGGGGGACGAACCAACGGCAGCTCGCAGAGGACTCGGGGAGGGTGGCGGGAGGTAGTTGGGATGGGTGGGTTTTTTTATATCTGCGGCCGCGCGGAGCTAGGCGCGCCGCAACCCAGCCCAACCCACCCGGGTCTCCTGCTACCTGCCAGTCAGGCAGTGCTGCTGAGTGCTGGCTGGGAATATCAGGGCGTCCGCAACGGAGTGGTGGAAGTCGCCAACGTACGTGGCGGGGAGAAGTTTTTTTTTAAAAAAGAAAATAACTTGCCTCACAACTAAAAGACTAAAAGATAGACACCGTTTTGGTACGACAATTGCCTTGGGTTCGTCCGTCTACCACCGATCCCCGCGACCCCGCGTGCGCTGGCTCCCCCGTGCGACAATCACGGCAGTTGGCATGCGGACCCGCGTGAGGTGGCTCCCCCGCACAACAATCATGGTAGTTGTTGATTTTCCTTGCATGCCACCCCGCAAATACCCTGCTCGCCCCATGATAGTCAGAGATTCGTCTCCAATCACGCTCAAGATACAGCGGCCTCAAGTGTCCGTTCGGCTGGTGTGAATTTCAGCCGGAATTCACTGTTCACGGCTGAAATTCACTGTTCACTCTCTCACAAATTCCTCCAGATTCCTCCAAGCGAACAGGGCCCAAATTGGAGGCTCGTGATCCCTCTCTCGCCCACGCCATCGCCTCCTCTCCCCGTGCCGTCGACCTCGTCTTTCCCCGCTTGCCGTTCATCGTTCGTGCGTCGGGGAAGGGAAGGGAAGACAGGCAGGCGTCTTAACTGACGACGCTTTGGCCGGCGTCTCCGTAGAACAGCGACAAAACCTCGCCCGTGCGACTGTAGAAAGCACGTCTGTCTGCTCTATCCCATCGTTGGTCACCTCCTGGCTCCCGCCACAGCAGGAGATACGAAGGCAGGCACGAACGGAGCACGAGCACGGCTGCACGGGCGACCTCAATCTGCGCCACCGCCACCTCCGACTCGCAGTTGAACGCGCGAACCAGGAGGTCTTGAGTTCGACGTCACCCGCGCTCTGCACCTTCTGACGCTAGGTCCGCACAGTCCAGGTCGAGATCTGTCTGAGCGAGGACGACGACTCAAGAACCGTGTAAACTTCTTGCCCTTTATTATTGAATGAATATTGTACTGCAGATCCGGAGGTAGGCACGAACAGAGCACGATCATTGGTCGTCGTCCTCAATCCGCGCCTGTGACCATGTTAAAAATTGTGTTCCCTTTTGAAATTTCTTATTCTGCTAATTGTTGTTCTTTTACATGGACTGATGTCCGTCCTCAACAAGAATAATAGTAAATGAGAAAATTACTTTGAAGCTCCTCTTTCTGCAGACGTCGAAGAAAAAAAATTTCCCTCAGCTTTGATCCCATTGCCAAACCTTTAAAATCATGATGTAAATCACAAATTCAACTGCCATGATAGCATCATGCAGAAATACGCATAATTTTCAGGCTTGAGGATGTACTGACCTCGCACGCCTTTCGGCATCATGTAGATGCAGTAGACCTGTGTGGCTGCATGTGCTTTTGTGTGAAGTCAGACCATATTTCATATGCCACTATTGTCCCATTTGTTGATTTTGGCACCCCTTATGGGCTGTTAGGAACTTGTGGAAGTTTGCAGAATCTAAATCATCACTTAACTTTTACAGCTGCAACTTGGTTCTAGATATTCGATAATGATCTTTGGGCTGCTACCTTACTGAACTCAGGTTCTGCCGCTGGAGCAGGTGGTCCTAATCTGCCGTAATTGACGGCGTTGCCACTCACAGGTTAGCATATATCATCACTTAGCTTTTACAGCTGCAACTTGGTTCCAAATATTTCGATAATGATCTTTTGGGCTTCTACCTTACTGAACTTTAGGCTCCCATCAACTTAGTTTGTACCACAATCACCATGAGTGCCACTCCCAGGTTAGCCTATATCATCACTTAGTTTGTATTTGCAACGGAGGGAGTAATTACAAGTGCATAAATGTAGACATGGAAATGAGTTCCAATCTGTGAATGGAGTGCTCATGAAGTGGATGATGTTCTGTCTTTTCTCAATTGCATGCCATTGAGCAGTTGACGCAGCTGCAAGTATCTAACTGGAGCTGACCATGTCCCCTTCTAAAGCCTATTTATTCTTTGTTTATTTTAGCTTTCTAGCCATCAGTCAACAGGCTAAAATATGGTTACTCAAAGAGATAAGTACCTGATGTAAATGCATGTAAACGTCCGGCCCTTATAACTTAATTCAGACAATGCTTGTATTATCTGTACTGAACTGCAATTCTTTTTATGTTTCTGCATTCATAATCAGTGCACCATCACCATACATCAGTCATCTCTAAGAGAGATAGGAGCACTGTAGGCTCTGAGAAACAGTACCACATATTTTAGTCTGGACATTTGGAGCTACAGAGCTTCCAATTATACATGTTGGGCTCAATTAAGAGTTTATTTTCAAGTTACAGAGTTTTTCGTTTATCACTGCTGGAAATAGTTTCTGGACAGCTTCTGGTCATTTGACTACATGTGCTTCCATTACTTTGGTCGGTTTGTAAGTCCTTCAGGCATACCTGTTCGTTCATAGTGCCCATTGTCTTCATTGGGTGTGTGATTGTGTGGAGCCAAATTTTCTAACACTATTGTAACTTTGATTGCTTTGGTATTTACTGCATGTATCAGTGTTTCCTAATTAGCATAAATTTTGATTCATTCATGTAACTCAGGGACAGGCTCTAGAAAAACTTGCTTATGGTAACTTTGTTTGATTATGTGGTTATCCTTCAGCTACTCTGTATTTTTTTAACCGAAGCTACTCTGTATCTTCGGTATTAGAAAATAGAATCAGATGACCAGATAACCCTGCTGTGTTTAGTGCTTGCGAGCGCGGGTAGTACTATTCTTGTTTTAGTCAAATTATCGTCATAATTAATTTGTCAAATAGCTTTGCTGGTGCATAACTACATCAGCCTGTAACTGTGATGCGCGGATGCAGAAATTGTTGTCTATTGACATTATTATGTGATTGTAGTAGTTAATTCTCTGTCTAACAATACTTCCAATCCAATATAAAAAAGTTTCTACTTTTTGAACTGGACAATGATAGAAAATAATCTGAACTACTATAGTTTTTGGTTGGAAGTCCATGTGTAGTCAATTTATACTTTGTAGTCTTTTGTTTGAAGTTCTTGAACTTAGTCCTGCTTGAGTTTAGTTGCGATCAGCTTTTCACCGCAAATGAATTGTTTCTCTACATAGTTTTTATAGACTAATTCAGCAATACCCATCACAATATTAGCTTAAATGTATGGTTTTGAAATTGATATTTATTTACATATATCATTTTAATCCCTTTACTAATTTACTAATGTAATACTCTGTGATAATGATACACAGAAACAAGCTGTATAATATTCTTTTATGAATTGCATATCAGTCTTCATGGATGGGTGACAGTCTGTGCGCAGGTGGGCTCCTACCTCGCGCGCGCTCGACCCTGCTGCCGTCCGCAGCCACGTCAATTAAAACGATAGGAGGCGGCGCCCATTCAGGTAGTAAATAGTTTTAGCATGTGTGTCTCTAATGGTAATTATTTTGTATCATGAATATCAGTATTTTCTAATATAAACTTAGTCAAAGTACATTTTTTAGACGGAGGGAGTATTTTACTCTTTCTAGCGTCAATGGAAGTTTTTATCACTGCTCTCATGGACAAATTTGATAATACGAATTTATTGGTTAATTTTGTGTTAAGTGAAATCACAATGGAACATATGCAAAATAATGAAGGTTGTACACCATTTGAAGACTTGACAAACACCATCAATGGAGGTAATTGTTTATACTCATGTCCATAGACACATTCACTTGTATTATTTGTGGTAATTAAGCAAATATTTATCAACTTATTTTCAAATAGGTGACCAAACAGCATCAAATTCACAAGCGCAAATAGATAAACGTGCGCAACGTAAAAGAGAAAGAGAAAAAGCATGACATGCATCAATGACTCAAGAAGAAAGGGATAAAAAAAATAAAAAAAAAACTTAGGGAAAAGTATCATCAGACAAAGAAAAACACGGATGCCACCAAGCTAAAAAGGGAAAGGGAAAAGGCATGATCGGCGACAATGACTCAGGAGAAAACAAATGAAAAAAATAGAAAGCGTCGTGAACGATATCATCAGAAAAAAGCAGGTAAACCTGATTTTGCTTTTCTGAATTCAGTGTTGCCATTTTTAGTTTATTTAATATATAGTGAATGCCATGTGATACCAGTTGGAGTTGATTCGACCACGGAAAGCACTGATGTCTACGAAGATAGTGACTGGCTACATCGAAACAACTCATACAATCCCATGCAGATTGATAAAGATAGCACATGTACCATTTTGGTTTTTTTACTAAATACTAATTATTTTTTCTTGTGTTTGTATGATGCCGAGGCCAAGGTT